ATGACGGCGCAGAGATACAACTATTCGTGCTTGATGGATGTCTGTGTTGCATCCTGCAAAATTGAAGGCGCGATGGCGCGAGACGTGAACTTGTAATGCTTCGCTCAGGGTGGCATGTAACATAAGGAAGAAATGAAAGATTGGAAATTTCAGCGAAATATAAAATATTTCATGAAATTTCATGAGACTGTGAAATATTTCATATCTTTCAGAGGCTAGAGCATGCAAGCCGTGCTCAAACACACAAATAGAAGAAAGTCACAATTTTTACATTCTGCGAAACATGAAAAGGAACCGGTATTTTTCAATGATTTTCATAAATTTCTGATTCCTAGTAGCAATGGATCTTAAAAAAGTTCTACAATAAGTTGTCCAAAAAAAATGTAAAAAACTTGTAAATTTTAAGTAGAAAAACTCTTAAAATACTCGTTTTAGTTTTCTTTTAAGTAAAAAAATAATGTTATTATTATTAAAAGAAAGCGTAAAATTTACGTAAAAATCAATAAACTATATCCTCAATTTTTATGGGCTGCAACTGTTCCTTTTATTGCCCTAACTCCTTAGGGTAAGGGTACTGGTTAGGGATAGTTGCAAAAAGAAAAAAAAAAGAAAAAAAAAGAAAAAAAAATTCCCTGACACTCGATTTGTTCTTTTTTCTTTTTTATGTCTGGTTCTTCTTTTAAGGTGCCTTTGTAGTACATATACATGTATCTAAAGCTATTATGTACCGGCCCTGTACGAAAGCCTCGGATCAATTTTTCGCGGCTGGGCATCTGAGGGTTAAACACTCATCCATCATAAACGATGGGAATTATGATTTGAAACTAAGACCCAAGATATTTGAAAGAGTGTTGAGCATAAAGGGCTAAAAAAGTATTGTATATTTAATCCCAAGCTGGATTTTGCTAATTTTTTAAAAGAGAACAGATCAACATCATTCCTTGAAGTTAGCACAAAATTTTCTTTGCACCGAGATATTTTCGCGCCTGTGGGCATTTTTGAAAGTTCGATCCAAGAAAGTTAAAAACGCGATAGGTATGAATAATACAGTCCATGAAACTGGTCGAAAAACAACAAAAAATCCATACCTACTCCAATGCCAGTTTCCCCGGCCGAGAATCTGAAGCGCGAGACTTTCGATCATTTTCCCAGGGATATTTTCGCGCCTCCGAAAATTTTTGAATGTTCGATCCGAGAAAGTTAAAAACGCTCTCTAAATATTGTAGCTGATGCAACTGCTCGGAAATTGGCGAAAAATCCACGCTTCCATGCTAATTTCTCCGGCCGAGAATCTAGAGCTTCGGATTTTCGGTAGTTTTCTTCCAAGGATATTTTATACCTGGGAAACAACAAAATCCATGCTCCCGATCAGGCTCGCCACATCCCATCTCGGGCCCTGGTACCAGTTTTAAGGTCCGGTTCCAAGCACGGAGGGGGAGAGGGTCCGAGGGGCATCCCCCGAGAAATTTTAGAATTTATACGACTGATTGGACGCATTTTGAAGCTTCCATAAATAATTTTTCCATCAATTTCTGCGGAATAATTATGGTTTTTTTTAATACTTTCAGCACAAAATACTTGCGAATTGTTGCATTCGAAACATCTGGAAAATTTTTATTTTTTTGGGGGGGGGGGGCACATGATACTATTTTCGGTTCTATGAGGGCCAGGCCCCCCTGGACTCCCCTTTCGTTTGTCTATGACAAGGGAGTTGAGCCATGAACCATTGAAGTCGAGGATGCCCAGACTGGAGACTCTTAGCATCTGACGACGGAAGAAAATGAAACGCAGCTACTAAAAATATCCCTCTGCACTGAAAATCTTGAAAATAGATAGTAATTTTCCGAGAAGTATACTTCTTTGAAAATTTAAGAAGATTTCTACAGTGCCCCAGCGTGTTTCTGAAAATCTATTCACCATTTGCGAAATTTTTAGGGTAAATTTTTCACTTTTTCTTACGAAAACAACGGTTGCATGTGAATTCGTGGTGGATTTTTCACGGGTAACACGGGACCCCTCCGGGGCCCGGGCCCCGGTACCAGGGACCCAGTATCCCCCCCTTGCGGCAGGCCTGCCTTCATGCACGCTGGGCTTGTCGATTTCCTCTGAAGTTTTGCAGTGGTGAATGCATAGCTGAAGTGCGCTTCAGCTAGAATTGTATTTACGAACGGGTGGTTTTTCTACGAGGATTAAAAATAAACGAGTGGTACGGAATATAACAAAAGAATATGAACTATGCAAAACGATTACTCCGATAACTGAACTTGGCTGTTTTGAAAACGCCTTCAAATACGGCATGATACCACACGCATTCCGAAGAGTTCAAAAAGTTGTATCATTACGCCGTAAGAATGTGACGGAAGATTTAAATGGAGATAGCCTCCATGCACGCTTGGCTTGTCGATTTCCTCTGAAATTTTTGCAGTGGTGAATGCATAGCTGAAGTGCGCTCCAGCTAAAATTGTATTTACAAATGGGTGGTTTTTCTACGAGGATTAAAGATAAACAAGTGGCACGGAATATAACAAAAGAATATGAAATATGCAAAACGATAATCCGGGTATCGGAACTTGGCTGATTTGAAAACGCCTTCAAATGCGGCGTGATACCTCACGCATTCCGGAGAGTTCAAATAGTTGTATCATTGCACCTTAGAAATGCGGCGGAAGATTGCAATTGAAATAGCCTTCATGCGCGCTGGCCTTTTCGATTTCTGTTAACATTTTTGCAGTCATGAATGCGCCTAAGTGCGCTTCAGGTAGAATTGTATTTAGCAAATGGGTAGTTTTTCTACGAGGATTATAATCAAACAAGTGGTTAGAAATGGAAACAAAATAATGGAAGCAAAACGAATATTCCGATAACGGAACTTGGCTGTTCTGAAAACGCCTTCAAATGCGGCGTGATACCTCACGCATTCCGGAGAGTTCGAATAGTTGTATCATTGCGCCTTATAAATGCGACGGAAGATTGCAATTGAAATAGCCTTCATGCAGGCTCGCCACATCCCATCTCGGGCTCTGGTACCAATTTTAAGGTCCGGGCCCCAAGCACGGAGGGGGGAGGGGGTCTGAGGGGCATCCCCCGAGAAATTTTAGAATTTATACGACTGATTGGACGCATTTTGAAGCTTCCATAGAGAGAATTTTTCCATCAATTTCTGCGGAATAATTATGGTTTTTTTTTTAATACTTTCAGCACAAAATACTTGCGAATTGTTGCATTCAAAACATCTGGAAAATTTTTATTTTTTTTGGGGGGGGGGGCACATGATACTATTTTCGGTTCTATGAGGGCCAGGCCCCCCTGGACTCCCCCTTCGATTGTCTATGGCAAGGGAGTTGAGCCATGAGCAATTGAAGTCGAGGATGCCCAGACTGGAGACCCTTAGCATCTGACGACGGAAGAAAATGAAGCGGAACGGAAGAAACCACCTATCTCCATTGCGGTGTTTCAGAATTTCCCCATCTCTTTCATTTTTTTGAAGAGAAACGAGCCAGCTTTAAAGCTTGACATTTATAAAAAATATTCTGGTAACAGTGAAGAAAAATTCTGTCAGTTTTCAAGAAATTATGCTCACTAATTCTCCAAAGAAAAAATAATGCAGTAATAATAAAATGCAGTGAAACAATACAAAAAATGAAATAGTCAGTGTGTAATAATAAAATAATGCAGTAAAATAATGAAGTCTGCAACGTTGGAAACGGAGATACATGGTTTTGTGCTTTGGCCATCAATGTGCTACTCCTGACAGATATTCCAAGCTCTCACAGAGCTTGTAGGTGCTAAAAAAAAACTTTGGTCATGTTTCAAAATTTAAGGACAGTAGAATCACCTAAGGATTTACTAGCGAATAGCTGAATTATCATGAAAATCGTCCCGGTGAACATCTTGCTTTACAATTGATAAAATAATAAACTTGGAGGAGTCGGAAAGCTCCTGGTAACGATGTGGGTAACTAATTGAACTATTTTCTTATCATCTAAGAAGAAAAGAGATTAGAAAATCAAATTCATACTTTATTTCTGTATGTGATTAATTTCTAAACATGATTCACAAATATACCAATCGATATTTTCCACATTGAAAACAAGATTTTAGTATTCAAACTTTATTACATGCGCTGATACGAAGGATCAATGGTTAAGTATAGGTAAAGTTATGTGCTAATAGTTGACCAATGGAGTATACAAGGTCTAGCATATCATAAACATTTTAAGATAGAAGCGAGATATCATTTAATTATGGCCGTAAGACGACTGAAAATTTTCAACTGTAAGGTCCCAACATGAGTTGTAGGGTAAAAGAATTAACACCGAAAGCTAGATCAAGATCCACAGCCTTGGTGCACTGTTCAAGCAAATAAGAAAAAAACTTGCGATCCAAATTTCATGCAATCAATAAAATCGAATGAAAGCTTGAGTTGACACAAACGCAAACATCAATTCAATTCTTGTTGTTTCAAACCTGTGCTTTTGCAACTGAAAAGTATTAGTGAAATTTGTTTGAACACGAAGCACAAACATGCTGAGTTGAGAGAGAAAATAAAAGGTTTTAAAACTTGCTCTACCTCCCTTATGAAATCATTTCGTATCTTGAATTAAGTTATTACTAAAATAATGAGTGTATACTTTTAAATTAGTTTTCTTCCATTATTGTAATAAAAAAAATAAATTAGGATTGATCTATTCTGACAAAAGGACATTTCGCTTCTTGCCCTTAATTTCTGATGGTATTTGAATTTCTTAGACGTTTGTTGTATTGCCTAAATATTGATGATATACTTTCATACTGATGTTTTTTACCCTGAGGTTGTCCGATCACATAAAGACAGGGTAAATTTTCTGCATTTATTCAGTTGTTTACTTTGTTGACGGATTTCAGAATTAATTTCCATTACTTTCATTGTCTTTTTTACAATGTGTAAGGAAAGCAGGATAAATTTTTACTGCGCAACTTGACAAAGCTACAAGGAGGTTAAAACAATATCTAGACGAGACTGAGAGTAAAATAATAACTTTATTGAAATTCTGAATTATTGAGAGGACAAATTGTGATGATATAAAAATAAAAAAGTAAAACAAACAAATAAAAATTAATATGATACAGCTACAAGCCTCAGAAAGTTAAAAATAAATTATTAAAAACACAACATTTAAAAACTAAAATATGCAGACTGACTGAAGATTTTGGTCTCCTTTGCCGAATACTTTTTGACGGAGTTACAGTAGATTTTATTTCATCTAAAACCTTATCATTCGTTATCTACCTATCATTTTCCTGCATTTGACTCAAGCTACTCGACAAACAGTCATCAGGTTATTAAATAAGAAAGCTTGTACACGTATACACATGCTGCAATTTAAGTCTCATTTGGTCCACTCCTGCACAAAGGAACGTATAATGTTTGCCCCGTTCCAGTATTTCTGCGAGCATTTTATTTCTTCATTAAAGAGCCGTCGCAAAAATTTGTCTGAAAATTTTTGTATTTTTCATCACAAACACGAAGAAAAATCACTAATAATTTCAAACAAATTCAGCTGACAGTTCTCCCATTGCAAAATAACATGTCAGTAAGAAATACTGGAACAGCGCAAATGAGATACGTTCCTTACTGCTGGAGACAACAATTTGTAGAAGACCACTTTAAAGTTTCTCTCAACAGAATTCGTGGGGCTAATGAAATATATTGAGCTGTAAAATTTAAGGAGATCATATTGGCTCAAGTATCATGCAGTGAAACATTTATTGATTCCTAAGCGACACGAATCTTGCAAAAACACCGAAGAGCAAAATTTGATCATTGATTTGTCCAAGAAAAGAGACATACTTACTTTTGGCAGTGACAAGAAAAATAACCACAGATGGGAAAAAACAACTAAAGCACATTAAAAAATAGAGCTTGAAAAATGTCAATTTGATACTAAGAAATTAGAAAATTTCATCAATACTTGATCCCAATTGCAAGACCAGAATCGTTTGCTTTCCTCTTAAACTTAGTAAGTAAAATTATCTTAAAATATACAAAATTCTCAACTGTGGGCCTGCGAGAGATAGGTTTTGATTACGAATATGAGTTACAGTTGAGACTTATCATTCTTCGTTGCTAGCAACCTATGTATTTCAAAAATGTAATTTGCGTTAATGCAACACTGGACATGGACATAATCTGCAGCAGAAAAGTTTTAAAATTGGTTTACGATTTTGCAAAATTAGGCCAGAATTCTAAACTAACAAAAGTATAAAAATGTATTTCGATGGATGTAACTGGATGAAATTAACATTGAAATCTATGATTTACCGCTCTGGTCTAATAACTTTTCTTCCAACATATCAAACAATTTAAATTTTTCTGTTACCTAGTTACAATGGTGAGATTTTCTCGTTTTTTTATTATGTTTGAAAAATGGACGAGAGAAATGACAGGAAAAGGATGATCGGATCAAACATTAGGAAATGAGGAAACCTGCCCTGCCCTGTCCTGATTGAAAAATACTTATTACAAATCACAAAATGAAAGCACGGCATTGTCTATATTTTAGTTGTTAATACAACTGGTTGTTAAGACAGCTTTAAGATAAGATACACGGATAGATAGACTGACTTATTTGAATAGGATAAAGTAGACACAAAATAAGTAGGACCCATTAATATCGAACACGGGACTTAACAAGAGCCATGAAGGTAGGTATGCAGTCCCCAAAATATTTGTAATATTGTGAAACAATTAATTTATTTACGCAACATTCTTGTTGAATTATTCGATACTCCATTCAGTTGGAAATTGAATAAGAATTTTTTTGCAGCGACTAAAATGCGGAGTTTGAATTTGATCGTCTTCCCTTGTTATTTGCTTTTCCATCGACTGAATAAGAATATTACATGTTATTGACCAACTTTTTGAAAATTGAAACAAATCCTGAGGAGCTCAGCGTTTAGATAGAAGTAAGTTTTAATAACACTGGCGAGCAGTGAAATTACGGATTGAAGGAGTCAACTTAGAGATTGGAAAGAAGTTACTCCAAATAGGCTAAAATTATACAGTAAAAATTATGGATTTTTAATTTTGAAAGCTTCCGGTCTCATGTTGTGGTTGACCAGAACCGTGAATGGCTTATTTCGTTCAACTTGCATTCTCTTTTGATTTTTCTGAAAAAGAGAAAAAGAACAATTAAAGAGTGGAATTTAGTCTTGGTGTCTAGCAATTTTCAAAAATAAATTCTCTAACACTTCCCTGATTTCCCTGACAAAAATTGCCAAAAAACCAGGGAAAACTTTAAAATTCCCTGACAGACAGAAAAAATAATTACCCAACATTTACCTGTCAAAAAGGAAAAATTTTCCCAACTTATCAACACGGTTGAACTGATAAGATGTAAGTAAGGATTTGTTAATGTTTTAGGGATATAATGTAATAAACAGAGCAAAATATATGGTGCCTAAACTTATTCAAGGTACGTTTGCCTCATTTTTAAAATTTAAGATATCAGCAGAAATTCCGGTAGAAATTTTAGTATTGATTCGATTTTACTAAAACTTGATTCATTGTCAATTTTCAAAACAAAAAAAAAAAAAAAATCTGAGTTTTTCGATTTTCCTGACTTTTCCCTGACACAAAAATCACTTGCAAAATAAAATTCCCTGACATGCCAAATTTTTGCGGATTTCCTCGCGTTTTCCCTGACATTTCCCGGTTTTCGAGGTCGCTAAACACCCTGTAAGACATTAATTAGAAATTCGAGCACAGTGATACTTATGGCGTGGGGTCTGCTGGTACATCAACATCTATATCTATGCAATAAGCAAGAGTTCAATTCCTTGGGTTCAACTATTCTAGATTTCACTTTCTCTCTGTCTCTTTTGATTTCTTTGTTCTTTAGGAATAAAATGCGCAGTTGAAAGACCACATTAACATTGAGAACCACATGAACAAGTTTCGCAGACACATGATCCAAATTTCAAGTCCAAAAGACATTAATTCCTTTTTCAGGGATCCCAACCCCAGTCCTTAATACCCAAAAAAATCTCCATTAACTCTTTGGTTACAGATCTCAAACCCAGGGTGTTATTTCAGTAAGGGTACATTAGGGCAGAGACAGCATATGATATGCTTCGATAGCTCATAAAGGCACGTATCACGTCAAGTGTCGAGAGGCCGGATCGATTCATCGCGGGCACTGGCTTCAAATCTGAATGGGATTCCCTTTCTTTTGTTCTGCGATCAGAATTCAGGTAGTCGGATGGGACGGGCCGGCAATGCGGTTGAAATCTTGACATTTGAGGGATCGATCCGGGGGTGATCATTAAATCCTGAGTTAAATACCATTGCCCGGCAATGATATACGAAATCCAGTCTTTGGAGTTAACTAGCCGGCCCCGGCAAGTTCGCTCAACCTATCCGATATTTGAATTTCCCGCGTAAA